AATATCAAGTATCTATTTGTCTAAAATACATGTTCTTTCTTTATTTTTCAATGATGCAGGGAATGCCCTACTCGTTCAAAAATAGGGTTCAACTTTGAAAAACTTGACATGAACACAAGTCTAAAAAGTTCAAAGTTACATTGTTAGATGAACCTTCTTTAACCTCATCCGTTTAGAACGGTTAACAGCTTGGGAGACTTGAAGTGTAAAAGCACGGTAATGATTGGCGGGCTATGGGCACATGACGCCTTGACCTAGAAGTCAAATGCACCATTCGGCCTTCGAAAAGTTTAAACAACGATTGGTGTACTTTTTCTTGATACTATGTGTTTCGATGGTCATGAATTTCGTAGTGATTTTAGCACTGACATCCCAACGGGCGTGCCAAAATGTTAACCATAAGAACTACCAAGACTACATGGCGTGCAAGCCAAGTAACTAATGAGCTTACTACTTCATTCGGTTGAATGCGGGGCATGCCAACTTGATGATCGAGCTCAATTAGTGAGTAAATGAATGTGGTGGTGGTGGTGACGAACGCGATATTGACTTCTGTGTATTATGATTATGGTTGAGGAAGGAACTCACCTCGGCCTCTGGGTTCTAAAGCATGAAGACAAGGCTGCTAGTTTCTTCGAAGTTCATGAATTGTCGGCGTCAGGTTCGCCTCCCTAATTATATTTATGCAAATATAAGTACGCCGAACCGGTACCTAACTGTACGGACACAAATACTCAAAAGAGTTAAGCATCTTGATTGTAAATGTGGTTCGGTCGTCTGAATGTCAAACTCTGAAATGTACTTGCAAATATTCAATCATAAAACAAACTTGACTTTCGATGTGCCGAGCGAGGCAACCTAGTAACACCTCACTTCACGGAGAAGGCTAATGAAGTGACCTCTTCTAATAAGGACTCAAAGACTCCTTACTGGCCGAGACTTGGATAAATAACCAGCTGAACTTGAAGCAGTGTTGTTAAGACTAATTGAAGGTGCTCATCTGTCGCCTGATTCTACGGCTCCAGTGCTATTAAGACTAACTTAAGGTGTTGTCGGTTATCAACCACAGTGCTGTTAAGACTAACTAAAAGTGTGCTCGATGAGGTTAAGACGGTTAGTGTTTTCTCAAGAATGAGAGATTTCGCGTAAAGCGAAGGTTTGCACAGGGCAGATTTGTTTGTGTGTTTGGAGATGCTTTGAACGTTGGACATCCTCTCTTATTGATAGTAGTAACTTTCCTGGTATTGAGGTAGAATCCTACCATGACTAAATTTCATCGGCATCTTTCTCCTTATCAGAACTGGACTGCGAACATTCCTACCAACCCTAGGATTCTGAATCTGTCCGTCTTTCAATATTCAATCCATTTCCTTATCCTAACCAAATTCCTCAAGAATTCAAAGGATATTCTCACTACCTTGCTTTTCGAGGTCTCCTAGTAGAATCAAACCTTAAGTCTCCAAAACCATCTCGAAAATCCAAGTATCCTTTATTAACTTGAACTCGGCCGGAGCATTATGGACTAGGCTGAGATATCTCATCATGGGCCGATCAAATAGCTTACTCGGCCTAAATCCATTAATTTGGGCCTAAACAATTTGGTAAACTTGTAAAAACAATTTGGTAAACTTGTAAAATCAATTTTTTTTTTTTTTAACAATTGGGGTAAAAGAAAGCTAAAAAGCCAAAGCAGTAAAACCCAGCTTGGGAAAACTAGCTTTTTGTCACAATACACAAGTGAAAAGTGCCATTAGATGATTTCTTCAAAATGGCAACCTTACCCTCCTTTTCTCCTTCATCCCAGTTCTAGACTCCACCTTCTTTTCTCTAGTCTGAGTGATTGCTCTCCAACACCATGCTACCCAGATTCGCTACCCCATCCTTTCCATCTCTTCCTGTTACCCAAATTCGCCACCCTATCTCTCTCCTAGTCCCCACCAAATATAAGATCCTAACCCATTCCCTTCTAGGTGATAACCCAAATCCCACCCACCCATCCACCACCCCACCTCCTAAAATATGCAACACTCTGGAAGAGGGAGCAGATACAACGGCTATGAGAGGGACTGGCAACTGCAATCTCTCTTCTGATCTCGTCAATGACATATATGAGAGGGATTGGATCGCTGGTTGATACGACGACTACGAGATTGAGGGCTGGGCAAAATGAGCTGATATAAAGGGCAATACAGGCAGGGACTGAGGCGTGGTTATGAGGATTGCAGATTCTCGACAACATATTCGTATGCAGGGGAAGTGCAATCAGCAAAGCCACGATGTCGAAGTGCAGACTTGCATGATGGCAGTTGCTTTGTTGGCTAGATAAAGAAGATGGAGGAGATGAAAATGAAGAAGATGAAGAAAGACAAAAAATGAAAAAAAAAAAATGAAGATGGAGAAAATAAGGGAGATGACACTTCTAGAGAGAGATTATTAATAAAATATAAATAATAAATAAAAATTATTATTATATTTCATCTAACACTATACCCTTTTTAGTCTTTTAAGGGGGCGTTTGTTTGCCCTCACTAACTGTCACTAGACTAGACTGGACTAACTATTAGTCCAGTCTGGTGTTTGTTATCATCCAGGACTAGTGTTAATGAGACTAGCCCGGACTTGCCTACACTAAAGGCTTCACTAAAGGTTCCTAGCGAGAGTCCCCCGAAACCATGGGACTAGCTAAGAACTCTCCCTGCTCTCTGTTTCACTCCCTCTTTCTTCTCTCCTCGCCCTGAACTTAAACCCAGAATCAGGCAAATTCGCTACTCCCTGCGCGCATCTCGTGTTTATCACCGATCTCGCAGTCGAGAGGCAATACTTCTCCTCTGTTCAGATCCTCGGCTTGCTCGACCTCTGCTCGACCGCGCCTCATCCGCCACAACACTGTCACCAAATTTCATGACGCCCACCAAAACCCAGACACTGATCAGCCAAAACCCAGAAAACAAAAATCAATTACAAAACCCATATTCTATTTTTCAAAAATGCTCAAGTTGTGAAAATGGTGGAGTTTGACGATAATAGTGAAAAGGAATGGTGTTTAATGGTCTGCAATTTCAACATCCAAAAATGGCTTTTTTTATAATAGTGAAAATGAATGGATTTTGACGATGAAGGGGAAAGTACAGAGAGTTAGAGGGAGTTGGAAAAGCAGGAGAAAAAGATGGAGAGCTTTCGGGGGTATGAGACTTTTCTAGATAAAGGGGAAAAAAGAAAAAGAAAAAAAATGTAAAAGATAAGAATTAATTATTATTTTTATTATTTTAGTTATTTAGTTCGATACTGCACCAAACGCTTCACTAAGTTAGTCCAGCTTAGTCTATTCTAAGCCAGTCCAACTTAGTCTCTGAAGCTATTCCAGTCGGAGATAGTCCGGTACAACAAACGCCCCCTAAAAGTTTACCAAACACTTGGAAAACTGTTTTTTTTTAAAAGCACTTTTATTAAAAAGTTTATCAAACACTCAACTGCTTTATTTTACAACTGTTTATTCTCACAGCACATCAAAATCAATTTTTATTTAAACATAGCAATACCAACTAGCCCTAAGGGTTGATCAAACTAGTCTTTGTTAAATTTCTAATTTTGGGGATTAACAGGTATAATAGTTCTTTCTTGATTTTTAATTGATAAATGGTATTTTATTAATATATAGTACAAGCTAACTACATTATTTTTAGGGAAATTTTATTGGAACTCATTCAACCTCTTTCTACACCCAAAACAAAAAATATTTTCTTAAAATTCCTAATTCACCCTTTGATTAAAACTGAAAAAAAGAAATAAACAAAACTGAAATCTCTTTCCACACCCAGTGGTTCTCTTCCACCTCAAACCCCACAGAAGATTCACCGGCGATTCTCCATGGAAACTTCAATTCAAATTCTTTTAGCATCATAACCGCCTTATATGGCACCGGAACGGAGTATGGATCTGGATACAGTCGAAAGCCCGAGTATAAGGCACCGAAACCAGGGTATGGACATGGGTACGAGAGAAAGCCCGAGTACGAGGCACCAGAGTCCGAATATGGATCTGGGTACGGTCAAAAGCCTAAGTTTGAACACCGCCAGCTGAATTCGGATCTGGGAATGGTCAGAAGCCGAGCTACGGTGAGGAATCTGGTTATGGCGATAAACCGCCGAGAAGCCGAGCTATGGTGAGGAAGGTGGTTATGGAGAAAAGCCATCGAGAAGGCCAAGCTATGGGCGGCCTAGTTATGAGACGCCAGAAAGCGAGGAGAGGCCGAGCTATGGGAGGACTGAGTTTGAGAAGCCGGGTTACGGCGAAGAGCCGCCGAGGAGGACTAGCTATGGAGATGAGCCGCCACCCCCGAGGCCAAGCTATGGGAGGCCTGGCTACGAGGGTTTATGTTCTTTTAATTTATTTTTACTTTTTAAATAATGTCAGGGCAACATGGAGAGTTTAATGGCAAAAATATTTAAGTTGGGTTTGAAGATAAGATAGTTGGGTGTAAATAAAATTTCCATTATTTTTAACCTATTGTAAACTTAAGTTCACTACTTCCAGTAAATAATATTAGTTCTGGAAAAAAAAAATTACATAGCATAAGATAAAGAACAAGAAGGCTGAAAATATTTTGTAACTTCTGACAAAAAAAAATACATATATTTTGTAACTTCTAGCAAATTAAGTTTTTTTAATGGAATAAATTAACCTTAAATTAGAGTATTTGGTGATTGAAGGATACCTAACTGTAGGGGTGGTTCGGTATGGGATACCATACCGAAACCGTTATCCCGATTCCCATACCAAAATTTTCGGGAATCCCAATTTCAATACCGATCCCAAACCAAATTTTCGGGAATCCCGAAATAGTTTCGGGATTTCGGGACAAATCGGGAATCCCAAAATAATTTTGGGCTTTTGGGCTTTTGGACAAAAAAAGCTAATATTGGTCCAATTGGACAAAAACCTAATATTGGGTCGAAGGGGCTTTTGGGCTTTGAGTGTTACAAGCTACAAAAATACACAGATACGAACATGAAACCTCCGATTAACAAACTATAGCTTTCTCCGCAGTTAATAGTTACTTATGTGTATCTAAAGACCAAAAATCAATTACGATAAACAAGATAAGACATTTTATGAACAGAAAATCGAGGTCAAGATTTATTCCTAAGGAAACGCCATCACATAATAAACTTTTCCTTAGAAGAGAGAGAGAACCGAGTAGTCAATTGTTGCAAACAACACAAGAAGCCGGTATCAACACTAGTGCTTGTCCTTGGGAATATCCTTTGGTGGAACCTTTGATTCCAGTTCCTTGGTGATTCTGAGAGAAAATCCATGAAGTCGTATTAAGATGCAAGACCACTAACAAAAATATACGAAAGCAGAGTACATTATTTCCATGATAATAAACATAAAACGGCATATCACAATTCATCAAGTCCTCAAGATCACACTTAAAAAATATCCCTACGCAATCATCAATGTCCACTGTCCAAGTTTGGCTGGACAATGATTTGTACACTGCACCAGTGTTTGATAACAAATCATTCTTGGTTTATCTTAAAAACCATGGACACAAAGAATAAAACCAAGTAATACGATAAATGAAAGTCTTTTATGATCTGCCCTTCTATTTGAGGGCTGATTCCAAATTATAGAAACTAATGCCCTGCTCCAACCAAAAGATCGAGACTAGGGTAATACTGAAAAGCTAAGATAAGAGAGAAAAGGCATTGGAGATAGTATCATTTGAAAGATGCCTAGTCATTTAGGTAACACAGTACATCTAAGGCTTCCAAAAGTTAACCCTTCAAACCCCCACCAAACACACATCTCTTATACAGAAGGCCAATTTTCACACCATTACTTGCTAACTTACTAAACCATCCTCTTTTCCAACATCAAGACAAAACAAACGAGAATGGTACATGATAACATCATAAATATCTGAATATAAAGCATATCAGGTGTAGCAATCTGCTGAACGTTAACACTTATCCATGTTAAGAGTGAGACAGGGTTAAGCTGAACCATTTTCAAGAAACATATAGAATTCAAACGAACTGCCAAATTAAATTTTGACTAAGTTGAGTAGCTACTTGCACACTTACAAACAATTTCATAGTTAACATATTTTACAGAAAAACAAAACGAAAAAAAGAATGAGAGGAGGATTACTTGGGCGATTCTTCCTCAAACTTGTAACACTCAAAGTTTCAAGTTTATGAAGATTGTTGACCTCTTTGGCCCCTTCTTATTAGCACTTGTAATTTTCCCCTTGATGTTGATGGTTGAGCCCTTCCCCTTACAATGGGTGGTCTTGGTCGTGGAGGTAGTGATTGATTTTGACGTTGTTGAACTTGTACTTGAGGTGGTCGAGGAGGTGGAGGTGGCATTTCATTTTCTTGTGTTGTATTCTCCTCACCTCCCAAATTAGCCATGTCTAAAACAATAAACCACAAATCATTTACATTGAATTATAGTCTAATAGATAATAAATACTAAGAAAATAAAAGATGAAATTAAATTGTTTACTTACTTCTTTCTAAGCGTTCAAGCTCCTCATAGAAACATAATTCGTCAAGGGTAGGCTCCTTGTAGAAACAAAATTCTTTTCCTCTAAGCCAATCACTAGTACACACTAAAGCCTCAACCGTTTTAGGTGTTAAGGAAGCTCTAAAAGGATCAACAACTCTCCCACCAAGACTAAAGGCATTCTCACTAGCAACGGTGCTACTAGGAAGGGCCAATACATCCTTAGCAACTTTACTAAGAATTGGTTATTGACCACAATTTCCTTTCCACCAATCCAAAAGATTGAAACCCTCATATGTTAGGCTTTGATGTGGATCATTGAAGTACATATCCACTTCATTGGCTATCTCATTTTGTTGTGCCTCCGCTCTCTTTCTTTAGATCTTCTTTGCCATCCTTGAAGCAACATTAATATCTACCATCACACTCCCCGCCCCATCATCTAGTACAACACTTGATCTTTGCTCCATATTTGAGGTAGCACTACTATTAGTACTACTACCACTACTACTACTAAGGACCACTCCCTCCTTATATGCATTATACAACTTGGTTACATAACCTTTAACCCTTACTTTCTCCTCCCTTATTTTGTCACATCCATAGCCGAGCTCTTCTAGATTTGTCTCCAACATATCAAATTTGTACCTCGGGTCGAGTGATTGGGCCACAAAGAGAATAGGATTCACCTTTTCAATGTCACCCGAATATTTGTCAAACTTGAGCTTCATTGAGGTAGCCACACTTTGCAAAGTGGCATTAGAGGCGTTTGAAATTTGTTCTTCTATCTCCACTTGCAAGGCAATCACTGTGCTAAGTATTAAGTGTGACGTTGGAGTAAGGGTTGCACTCAATGTCAAGGTGGCATCATAAATTTTTTTGAGAAAGTGAGCAAAACTCACCGACCTTTCCCAATCATCCACCTCCGGAGGACCCACCCGCTTGGCCTTTCTTGTCACCCCATCAACCTCTTTCGAGACCTCCTCTTTAAAGTAAGCAATGAAAGAGTCACACTCAAAGGCCATCTTAGAGAACACTTCTTTAAACTTGAAAGCACTATTAAGCATTTGATATGTGGCATTCCACCTTGTGACAACATCAAAAGGGATACTTGACATCCTATCAAATCTCAACAAGACACAATATTCCCTAAAAGACTCCAACCTTGCCGGGGATGAGTGTATAAACTTCACACAATTTCTTATGGCATTAATCTCCCTACTAAGCTCCGTCATTCCATCCTTAACTATCAAATTGAGGATGTGACAAGCGCACCTCATGTGCAAGTGAGCCTCATCAAGTAAAAGAGTACCATTTGACTTGAGTCTTCTTTTCATGTATGCAATAGCGATGTCATTTGCACTAGCATTGTCAACGGCAATGCTAAACACCTTGTCTATGCCCCAATCATTCAAGCAAACCTCTAGACATCTTCCAATATCATCACCCTTATGAGAAGTAACTTGGACAAAGTTTAGGATCCTCTTGTGTAACCCCCAATTAGTGTCCAAAAAATGAGCCGTGATGACCATGTAGTTTATCATTTGAATTGAGGTCCAAGTGTCGGTTGTAATACTCACTCTCAACCCCTCAATCACACTTTTTATTTTTGCCTTCTCTTCAGCATACAACTCCAAAACCGCTGCCGCTACCTTATGCCTATTAGGAAGTTTGTACTTTGGATTCAAGTCACGAATAAAATCTCAAAAGTCTTCTTGATCAACCACCCTAAAAGGCATCTCCGCTATTATAATCCACCTCACACATCTCCTATCAAGTCTTTTTTTATTGAAAGTGTGAGTGACAACCGGACCTCCCATCCTCGCTTGTGTCAATGTAGGTTGGTTCGGATCCACATTCTCAAAGAGACTAGAACCCGGGCATTTCCTCAAATGCTTAAGAATTCCCGTTGTCCCATGAGTTATAGGGTGTGCCGGTACTAAGAGTTTGCAATGCTTGCATTCGGCCATGTAAGATTTCTCCCCATTATTATCGGTGATCGTTACCCTCTTAGCATCATTCCACACCGGACTTAGACCCTTTCTCCTATTGCCCTTTTCGAGGAGGACCATCCCATTGTCTCACTACTTCTACTTCTTCTACTTCCTCTTCCCCCTCTTCCCCCTCTTCTTCTATTTGTTCTAATGAAATATCCTCCTCCACATCCAGATCATCATCCCAACAATCTTCATAATAATCATTATGCAAATAATCTTGAGGTGAGGGAGTGCCTAGTTGAAGGGTACCACTAGGTTGAGTTTGTTTTCGTTTTCCTAATACCGAGACCATATGTGTACTAGATTGGTTACTAGATCCGTCCATCCTAACAAATAAAATAACAATGCACATTAATATATCACAACCACAGTTCATGACACGCCCCGACCCTGATATTCCCTGAATATCAGGACCGACACGTGCTGGCCGACACCCGGGGGTGACGAAAGCCATTAATTGATACAAAAGCTAAGAATAAGAAATAAATAAGGGTTAGAAATTTGAAATACAAAGAGTTAAAAGTTTTAGGAACGTGCTCAGAGCATACAACTAAACCTAATCACTAAAAAGAATTAAGATAAAATTTAATGAATAGAGGAGTGGGTCCTACATCGAGAGGATCCAAAGATGCTGCTGCGGAAGTGTCTCCACGCCGGGATTAAGTGCCTTGATTCTAAGTCCTGAATGGGGGCGCAAAACAAAGGTGAGTGGACCAAGTTATATATATATATAATAATAAAACAGTTATCAAGATACTAACCCCCAAAGTTTATATAAATGAAAACTACTAGCATAAGTAAGTGATGGATTTAAATCAAAATCCTAGCATGCCAAATATCTCAAAAATCATATATAGCGGAATATCATCGCAGAAATCAAAACAATAAACGTATCATAAATCGTCTCGTAAACGCGATGTGCTGCTAGAAAGATCACTGAATAAATGTAACTCCCGGCCCAATGCCTGCACCTCAGTCTCTGTGCCCGTAGCCAGAGATAACTCCCTCCCGGCCCAATGCCTGTCTCCGTGTCCCTCAGCCTTTCGCTAGGGATTATTTCTCCCGGCCTACATGCCAACACCAGATCCTCGCCCCAGGCGGCATAGTGTCCACTAGGTACGCACAAAATGTTACGCCTCTCGTAAATACCACTTCATAGCGTAGGTTACCGAATATCGTCTACGCTATAAAGAGGGTTCAAAATCATGTTCTAGCATCCTATCGTCACCTATCAGATAGTCTACAAGATCATGGTTTTTATAGAAAATAGATATATTAAAATATAGCTCAATATAGGCTAACAATTAATTCTTCACCAAAACACGAGACGATAAACAATATATTTAATCAACAGGCTTCACATAAATCAAATTATAAATCAGTAGGCATGCTAATCATTTATGCAATTTAATTATCAAATCATGCAAATTTTAGAAAGGGTCCACTCACAAATATTCCTTAGCAGCAGAGTCGCACGAATAAGGACATAGAATTTCTCCACTAGCAATATTACCTAAGCACAAGAATATAATTAATAAATAAAAGGATTTTTTAAAAGATTGGGTTTGAATTAATTTAAATAAGGGATTTTGGGATTGGATGGGTTTAGGGTTTTTTTTTAATGGGTTTTGGGAACCTAGGCCTTTAGGATTAAAAGGGTATGGAAAGGGGGTTTGGGCTTAAGCCCAAACATATAACTTAAACACACACACCCACACACACACACAGGCACAAGGCCCTCGGGCCTCACTACCTAAAACAGGGCTTTAAGCCCTTGGTTGCAAACCGGCCCAAGGCCCCATTGTTGTTGGGCTAAACATAAAACGGGCTGGAGGCCCGCGGAAGGAAATGAGAAGGCCGGAGGCCTGGCGCGGGGGAAGAAGAAGGCCGGAGCTGCTACAGCTCCGGTCACCAGAAAACTGGAGCTTCAAGCTCCGATCTAGGTACGAACGTGAAGAACAAGGAGAGAGGAAGAGATTTATACCTTCCAAATGTCGTAACTCGGTCGGAGGTGACCGGGAAAGTCCTCGGGGTGTACGGGTTCACCGGAAAAGTGGGTGTGCTCACCCACGACCGTTCTGAAGCAAAAACCTACGTAACAAGGTAAGGTTCAAGCTTCTAAATCACAACCAAACCAAGAACTAGGTACGAGAGTGAGATTTGAGACCTACCCGACGGGAAAAATGGAGAAAACTCGCCGGAGCTTTGCTCCGTGCCGTCGGTCTCGCAGTGCAGGGGGAGTTCGGGACTTGCTGCAAGCCTCACCTGAGGGTGGTATGGCCTTCGCGAGTCCAGGAGGATAGAGAGAGAGGTGCGAGAGGTTGAGAGGGAGAGAGATGCACGGGAGAGTTGAGAGGGACAGAGTACAGAGAGAGACAAGAAGAAAAGAGAAGTCCCGGGGGTGAGGGAAGAGAGAGAGGGAAAAGAAGGGGTTTGGATGATTGACACGTGGCAAATGGGGTGGAAATATCAAATTTTCAGATTATTTGGGGGTGGGTTGTAACAGTTCAGCATATATCCAAATTCCAAACAATAAATAAAATAAATGGCTCAAAAATCTGAGCAGATTCTCACAAAGATATAAGTAGCCCCACCCCCACAATCTGAGCAGATTCTCAAAAACCAGCATGTTTCTAAACTAGGAGAATATAAGTAGCCCCACCCCCACAAAGATAATACAAACATGAAAGTTGGAACCTACAAACAAGAGTTTTCAACACTTACTTGTAGCGCTTGTATGCTAAACCTTTAAAAGCTGCTCGAGAATAAATGATTCAAGAAAAACAACCTAAAGAATAATAATTCAAGAAAATAATTAGTAGAGAATCATAGTAGACTAACATGCTTAACATATATTGTGTTTTCAAACCAATATGGATACAATGCTTAACATGCTTCATGGATACAGATAGAGCCGAATTCACCAAACCAAGTGGGTCAAAGTAAAATCTCAATGCCTATAGTAAGTTCAAAGTTTACTTCTTTCCCAAATACTCTTCGGATTGGCTACTGATGTTTTTAACCATTTACCCAATTGAAATTAGAAATTATACATCTAGTAAAAGCAATAACAGCTATAACATCAACAACCAAAAGTAAGAAAATTCGTCAAAGAATGGAAATAGTACAAAGAAGTCAGCATCTTATTTGTCAATTAGCTAACTAACAGTTAATTATGTGATTAGGCTATAATGGAATCAGGAAAGCTGATCATCTAAAACATTTTGACTGAACTAAACTAACAAAATCGTTAGCAGTTAAAACTTTAAACCATTTGAAAACTTCAAAGCAGAATCTACCAACAAAAAAAAGACTCTATAACTGACTATCTGTTTACTAATCTCATGACAAAATTCATCATAACTCACTCATTCATCTCACATAAGTTTCTCCTTCTATTTCAGCATCCATTGGGAACGCAAAATATACACACACACACACTGACACACTAGATACACACACACACACAACACAACACACACACACACACACACACACACACACACTAATTTGTTGGTCTTAACCCTGCATCAATCATAGAAGCAAAAACACTTATTACATATGTAATTGGTATTTTTTTCTACCCAATTCGAAAAATTCTTTCAAAGAATATGCAATCATTTCATATTACAGAGGATTGTTCATATTACAGAGAGAATACATACTATCATTTCAAATGACGAATATATACTAACATGCAAATGACGAATATATACTATCATTTCAAAGACGATCCCAGATGAAGAGACAAAATCGCAAAAGAAAAGAGAGAGAGCGAGAGGTGTGTGTGTAACGGTGAGATAGAGAGATTTCAGAAAACTAAATTAATTACCTAATTTGGGGTGAGAGTGAGACTCAGACTCGGTGTGGTGGTGAGACCATGAGAAAGATCCCCAGTTCTGTGACCTGACCTGTCCGTGAAAGACAATCGCCCTAGAGAGAGAGAGATCGCGAGAGAGAGCGGTGGTTGTGTGGTGAAGGAAGGCTGGAGAGTCAAAGACGAGAGTATGGTGTGGTGGTGGGCCGGTGGCTAGTCGGAATTCGACAGTATGGTGAGGGACGACGTTGGTAAGGGTCGGAGGCTCAGGGCTGCGCTTCGAAACAAATGAACGGAGGAACTACAAAAGTGAAATGTGATCTGACCTAAAAACAAATCAACAACACAGATTAAATCCAAAACAATAAACGGTTGAAATAATTCTCTTATAATTAAAAAATTATATATATATATATATATATATATTTTTTCGGTTCGGTATGGGAATACCGAAAAAATGAAATGCAATACCGAAGCCCATACCGAAACTTTCGATTTGGTTTGGGATTACATCCCAAAACTTTCAGGAATTTTGGTTTGGGATCGGAATTTTTTTGGTTTGGTTTGGGATTTTTTTCCAGCCCTACCTAACTGTACACAAAAATTGAAATTTCGACCAAAAAAAAAAAAAAAAAACTCAAAAATTGAATTAGAGATAAGAATGTTAGGTTGGAATACGAAAGTACCCCTAACCTAAGCAGATGAGGATACTTTTACCCTGCATCTCTCTCGATTCCCAATCAGTTCCTGCGTTTTCACTTTGGCGCCTGTAGCAGCTCCTCAAAGAAACCCTAACCCTAACCCCCAAATCCTCTCTATCCACGACGCCTGCACCCCTCCTCTAATGGCGAAAAAACGAAAGCTTAGCTCCTCCGAGCCCTCCGAACCCACCAAAAAGCAACAACAGGTCGTAGTTGAGGAACCCAAACCCCAAAACGAACCAGCAGAGGAAGTAGTCGAAGAGGAAGAAGAAGAAGTCGAAGAAGAGGAGGAGGAGGAAGATGAAGGAGCCGACGAAGACGAAGAGGAAGAGGAGGAGGACGAAGAGGGGCCAGGCGGTGAGTATAAGGAAACCGGTAACATAACCACGACGTCCGCCTCAGCCGCTTTGGATCAGGCCGGTGCAGGTGATGACGAGGACGAGCCGATCCAGAATCTTCTAGAACCATTCACCAAGGAACAGCTTATCTCCCTGCTCCTCGAAGCTGCCGATAACCACGGCGACGTGGCGGATCGGATCCGGAAGGTTGCGGATGAGGACCCAATCCACCGCAAGATCTTCGTCCATGGTCTCGGATGGGACACCAACGCCGAAACCCTAACCGGTGTGTTTAAGGAATACGGTGAGATTGAGGATTGCAAGGCTGTTTGCGATAAGGTCTCTGGTAAGTCCAAGGGTTACGGTTTCATTCTCTTCAAGACTCGTTCTGGGGCCCGAAAAGCCCTAAAGCAGCCCCAGAAGCAGATCGGTAATCGGATGACTGCATGCCAGCTGGCGGCGATTGGCCCTGGCCCGGCTCCTAACGCCGCTGCTGGACCTGTGGCAGCCCCGGCGGTTCAATCCCAGCCGATGTCGGAGTACACGCAGAGGAAGATCTACGTGAGCAATGTTGGGGCGGACTTGGAGCCCCAGAAGCTTCTTATGTTCTTTTCTAGGTTTGGAGAAATTGAGGAAGGGCCACTAGGTCTTGATAAGTTGACCGGGAGGCCTAAAGGGTTTTGCTTGTTTGTGTACAAGTCGGCAGAGAGTGCCAAGAGGGCTCTGGAAGAGCCGCACAAGAATTTTGAGGGCCATATTTTGCATTGCCAGAAGGCCATTGACGGTCCAAAGCCGGGCAAGTCTCAGCACCAGAACCAGCACCACCACAAGTCACATAATTCCAAGTTTCAGAGGAATGAGAATTCAGGTTATGCAGGTGGAGCTGCATCAGGAATGGGCCATTTGATGGCACCTGCAAGTGGGGGGATTGGATTTAATCAGGGGGCTGCTGCAGCCCAGGCATTTAACCCAGCTATTGGGCAGGCACTGACTGCTTTGCTTGCAACACAGGGAGCTGGCTTGGGGCTGACAAACCTTTTGGGGACTTTTGGAACAGCTCCGAATGTGAACCCAGGTGTTCCTGGTGCAGGACATGTGATGCAGGGTGGATACGGGAATCAGGCAAGTATTAGTCCTGGGATGATGGGAAGCTATGGAAATCAAGGTGCAATGCAAGGTGGCTATCCTAACCCGCAGTTAGGGCAAGGTGGTTCAGGAAGGGGGCAGCATGGCGCTGGGCAATCTGGTGGCGCTCCGTACATGGGGCATTAGGTGCCCATGAGGTATAACAAATTCGCTCTTTTACTTGGTAATTTGAGTCATCCTCATCCAAAATAATAACAAAGTCACTCATATATTTATTCCTTTTAGCTAGATGGCAGTAAATTTGGCATTTAGATTGATTTTCAAGAACCAAATAAGTGACTTTTCAATTGCCTATAAATTCCACCACTATGTAAGGTTTGTTAAAATTGCCCAGCTGATGCTGGATCTCTTTATCTGCAAGTCGGCACAAACTAAAATTGAAAATTCGGGGTGGGTTAATTTCAACCCTTTGGTATTTTCAGGGTTCTTCAAGACCATACAAGTAATTTTCTCTTGCCTTCTTTTGAATTGAAAACCTTGGATTCTTCCCCTCTTGAGCTATTTGATAGTGTCTGGTGCATGCTTGATACCTTGGCTTCCAATTCTATTGCAATTCTATTTCTGTCAAATATTACAGAAATTTCGGGGTAAAGAGTCACTAATGAAAAGACCGTGTGGTTTTTGGCATTCCTGTTCATAGACCCTATATGTTTTTGCATGGATCCTGCTATAAGTTCACTTTTTGAATGTACTTGTGTCATGCGTATGTTATATCAATCTGAGTATCTACTATTGTGGTTTGATGCAACTTTAATGCAGACATTTTCTTTGTGCTCCATTGTACCACTCCAAAGTTCAAACATACAGATGTCAAGCTTGTGCTCATGTTAAACCATATTCTAAAACCTACAAAACGAACGCTTATGAGTTCTAAAGCTTATTCTTTTGAGTGATGCATTATCTGAACAATGTTTTCAGAATTGTTATACCATTTGAAGGCTCCTTTATTTTCTTTTCCCAAGCTCCTAATAATGGATCTCTCTGAAGTTCTTAAATTTAAGTGTTTTGAATCATCTGAGTTTGTGCAGCAAGTTCATATTCCATGTATAATTTAAATGTTGAGACCAGTTTGCCTTTTGAAGTTGAAATCTAACTAGTATTCCCATTAAAGGGATTTTGGGTGCTAAAATCTTTTATCTCTTCTGAAATTCTTTTCACATTTTTTTATTAAATGTGCAGATCCCACGTAGGTGCAACAGTCTTTTTGTACTGGTCTGGTGATTCTTCTGAAGTTTAAAAGGAGCTGATGGTTACTACAAAGAGCAGAATCTTAAAACTTTCAAATGATATATCTGTTTTCCACCCCTTTTCTGTTTTTGCGTTTTTAAAGTAGTGTAGTTTTAGTTTGATTTGTTTAAAAGCTCGAGTTTGAGAAATTACTTATAAACCTATCTGTATTTTATGGAGTCAGCAAGGTTGAACAAATTACTTTTTTAATTTCCGAAATCCTGTGGATTAAATGAACTTGATTGTGTAGGTTTTTTTTTCACTGCAATGCTCATTGTTAACTTTGCTTATCGGTGCTCTTTATTGTTTTTCTTGGTTTTGAGTAAATTGTTTTGAATCTAGGGCATCTTTAATTGGTTTTTCTAAATTGTGTTTTTGTGAGTTGGAAAATGGTGCTGTGTGAGTTGTGATGTTTCGTGTGAAACATGTTTGGGCACCATCAAATCTCAGACTATTATCTTTAGATGATAACATGATTCAATTGTTTAATGCAGTTCTTTGGCAGGTATATTTGATGCAGGTGCTGCGGCAGTAGTTACTACTACTACTAGTAGCTGCATATACAATCTTTACTCACTAGTGTCTTGATTTTTAAAACTTGTCACAGACCTTGATGGCTTTTGGTCAAGGATGTTTTTGAATTTTCAATGTCCTAGTTTCTGAAGAATAGTTGAAGTATGCGTTTGTGATGAAGTTTTCTGGAAACTACGTTCTCTTTGGGACTGAGTCACTGCAAGAGTTACTAACTGAAATCCTAATACTTGAATAGCAGTTTTGTGACACGAGATGCTGACTTGTTAAAATGGGTTTTCATTGTATTGAAAATTAGATTTTGACAAACGTGTTTTAAAACTTGAACTATTTTCAAACAGTAGATCGATTATCTATCGATTAATCTTTTAGAGTTTTGAAGTAGGATTTGTGATCAGTTTCAAGGGAATGTTTCTAGTCTATGGGTTGGTCATTTCTCCATGGGTCTGTGTAGAGCTTGTAGCTGAACTTGTGGCTTTATCTTTGTCGATTAAGGCCATAAGCTTTGTGGACGTCAGTATTGGTGATAGGTATCAGGAACTAATTGCGATAGGCTTCATGGGAGGAAGGCAAAAAATTGCAAGAGCTAATTGAAGAATTCATACAACTATAGGCCCCATTGATTAAAGCAGCTTTTCGCCATCTCAGTCCCGGTTGTTAAACCTGAAGGAGGATGTTGTGATTGATCCGTGGATCAGCTGCAACTCTGAAGACGGTAACTCCGCTTTTAATTGCAATTCCCTGAATTGATAATTCTTACCTTGGAGAGTGAAGAACAAATGATGTTGTGAATCGAGTGTTGGTCAAGTGACTGAAGCAGGCGGCCTGTACAGACGACGGGAAGTCGGTTGCCTGGAATTGGATTTCAAATGCTTTGTTTGAATAGGTGATTGAACTCGCGTTTGAGATCAAATCCGCGAGCTTCTTTTGTCACCGCGCCGTCAGAAGTTGTTTTCACAAAGGTGATTTCTGAGTTGAACGGCGGCGAGCGGCACTGTTGTTGGGCGAAAAATTCCGAGGCCGATTGAATTGAAGCGACAGGATCAAAGCAGTTGTTTAAAAGGAGGTTGGATCTATATGATGCTGCTTAATGGAGGTCGAATGGAAGGGAAAAAACAAATGAATACGGCTTTTTGTATTTTAGTTTGTGTTTTTGAAAACTGGCTCTACCAAACACATATTTTTAGTTTTTATGTTTCTAAGTTATAAAATTTGTGTTCAAATAGAGTACTAAATGGGCTCTAAAACATTTCTCAAATTAAATTTGAGCATTTGACTGATTTGCAGGTGGCATTATCTAATAATAGGATGGGAGGCTATCAATTTCTCTGAAGAATCTGCCCTTAAGGAATATGTGTACCCCTAAAATATTTCTGTTGCAGCCGCGCGCGTTATCGTTATGTTCATTTTTCCTGTGGCTGCAGATGATTTGTTTTTGTTGTACTTCTTACCTTTTTTTGGGTCCACAAAATAAAAGCTACATTGTTGAAAACGAACCCATATCCTCTCTAGATCCCAAAAAACTGAGTCTAAAAATCAAGTGATTCAGGACGTTGAAATTTGATCAATAATTGTAGTTGTTGGATTGAATTTCAACAACTCAGATCACTTGATCCTTAGGCACAGATATTTTTGGATCCAGAGAGGATCTGGGTTCGTTGAAAACAACAACGAAGTGATGGATGTGTTTTCTACGACAAAACTTGTACTTAGACATGTACTATTTGGTCCAGCTTCAATGCAACATAGCATTCAGTTATGTCAATTTTTTATTCGTTAAATTTGATTTTCATAATTATTAGGTTTTTTATTTTTAATTTTAGTCATTTATTTTTTGTATCAGTCACCATTGAAGAAAAATTGGTGGTATTTAGAAAACTCAAGGTTTTGCATCCATAATTTATGAGAAACTTCGAAACTTAACTTGTTTCGTAAGTTATCAACTTTTAATCTCCTTGTAACGGTTGTTTTAGGGTTCATTTGATAACTATTTTGTTTTAAGTTTCTAGTTTTCACTTTTTTGAAAAATGAAATCGTGTTTAATAACTACTTTTAGTTTTCAGAAAACTAAAAACTAAAAGTGAAAATTGAAGGCTAAATTTCGAACACGCTTTCAAAACTAATAGTAGTTACCAAACAAGATTTCAATTTTTAGTTTTAAAAAAGTGAAAATTAAATACAAAATGGTTATCATATGGGTTTCCAAGAAAACCTTGCTTGTTTTTCTCACTTGCTAATGCAGAGTGGTAAACCATTTTGGTTAGAAGAGTATTTATCTAGAGTCGTTTATTTTTTTAGGTCTTCATTCCTTCTTATGAAAAATTTCTCAAATCCAAAAGAGTTTAGTCATTTGATTATTCTCTTGAATATTTCCGATTGTTTGCCAACACCACTGTTTTGTTTTTGTTGTTGTTATCATAGTTAGATACTTAAACAATTTCGAATTTAAATGAATTTTTGTACGAATGATCTTTGTTGATGCACAAAATCAGTGAGACTTTGGAACAATGTAAAGTGTCAAGTTTGTGGCCTTTGCTCGATTGCTACGATCACCTGGTATGGATAATATGTAAATAGATAGAGATAGGGAAGCAAATACAAGATGTATATGGTTCACCCTAAGTATGACTACGTCCACGGAGTAGATGAGTCCTCATTAATAGTGAAGGGTTTACACAAATATATAAGTTTAAGCATAATTATCATCAGTGGGTTCTTAATGACTAGTTTAAGTACAATAATGACATTAGGGATTAATTGTAAGAGAATGGTCTCCTTTTATAGTTGAGGAGAGAGTCTTTAGCTTTTGTTCGCGGTCGATATGAGACTCTATGAGCTTTATTCTTACGTTGACATGTGTCGCGCTGTGATTGGCCTCCTGGTTGGAAGAAAACCCTTGTGCTTCGGCAAAGGTGCCTCAACATGAAGCCCTCAATGGGTCCTCAAAGGTATGACGTTGACCAGTGCTCGGTAGTTTCGAGATTAGTCAAGTATGGTACAAACGGTGCTCCCTTAAGTTCTCGAGTGAGGAAAGCTTCTCGGTTGAGGACTTGACAAATCCAAGTCACTAAGTAATCACGAAACTTCTAAGTACCAAGGTGTAATAGCATATAGTAGGAGTCCCCCAAGTCTTTGGGCAAGGAGAGTTGCCGAAGGAGGTGTCTTGCTAGTAGCCAAGTTGTCAAAATAACAAAGCTTCGTTTGTGATATCACATATCTTCATATATATCTCAACCCGAAAATATTTCAAATTAGTATGAACTTCGCAAAGGCCCAACTTTTTTATATTTTAGAAGCCCAATTCTTTCTTGATGTTGAGAAGTTGTGTAAGAATAACATAGAAATAAGGCCCAAGTTTAGAAAGCCCAATCCCTTTCCCCTTGCTCCAGCTCAAATTTAATGTGAGGCCCAAGGGAGGGGTGGCCCGTGCCTATTTTCTCTTTTGTTTCTGTTTCTGTTTCTGTTTAATTGCTAAGCCCAAGAAAGGAGAGGCCTGGTGAAATAGAAACAAAAGTGAAAATAGGCACGGGCTCCATGAAACAGAAACAAAAGTGAAAATAGGCTGCCAGCAAATAAGCACTGGGCCTATCCTTCCTTGGGCTTAGCAATTAAACATAACTAGAAACAAAAGTGAAAATATGCGCGGGCCACCCCTCCCTTAGGCCTCACATTAAATTTGGGCTGGAGCAAGGGGAAAGGGGTTGGTCTTTCTAAACTTGGGCCTTATTTCTATTTTATTCTTACCCTACTTCTCAACATGAATCAAGAAAGAATTGGGCTTTTAAAAAATAAAAATGTTGGGCATTTGTGAAGTTCAAACTAGTTAGAAATATTTTTGGGTTGAGAAATATATGACGATATGTGATATCACAAACAAAGCTTTGTTATTTTGACAACTTGGCTACTAGCAAGACACCTACTTTGGCAACTCTCCTCGCTCGAAGACTTAGGGGATTCTTACTATATGCTACTACACCTCGGTACTCAGAAGTTTCGTGATTACTTAGTGACTTGGATTTGTCAAGTCCCCAACAAAGAAGCTTTCCTCACTCGGGAACTTAAGGCAGCACTGTTTGTACCATACTTGACCAATCCCGAAACTACCGAGCACCGGTCAACGTCATACCTTCATGTACCCACTGAGGGGTTCATGTTGAGGCATCCCTGCCGAAGCATAAGAGTTTCCCTCCAACCAGAAGGCCAATCACATCGCAACACATGTCAACGTAAGAATAAAGCTCATAGAGTCCCACATCGACTGTGAACAAAAGCTAAAGACTCTCCTCAACTATAAAAGAAGACCATTCTCCTACAATTAATCCCTAATGTCATTATTGTACTTAAACCAGTCATTAAGAATCCATTGATGATAATTATAAACCCTTCACTATTAATGAGAACTTCTCTACTTCGTGAACATATTTAGACTTAGGAGGAACCACGTACATCTTGTATTTGCTTTCCTATCTCTATCTAGTTGCATATTATCCACACCAAGTGACCGAAGCAATTGGGCGAAGGTCACAAACTTGACACTTTACATTATTCTAAAGTCTCACTGATTTTGTACATCAATAATCTTCGAATGAAAAACATAAAAAGAGCTGTTTATATTATAAAAGTAAAATTGTGACTGACATTGTAGTAACTTACTAATTAGTTAGCTACTGAATGCCATTGCTTGACAAGATCCATGCATTAGGTTGTAGATAAAATAAAGAGTGGTGCTATCTACACCTCTTTTATTTTTCTGCCATCGAATTGAACGAATTAAGGAAGATCAAAATTAAAAATTAACAATGAGTATATGAGAGATATAAATAGATGTGCGTCGCGCCACCCAATAAATAAACTATATATATATATATATATTATTGCATAATTGTAAAACTTAAAATTTTCATTTGGTGATGATCTTTGTTATTGTTCATGGTCTGAGCCTGAGAGTTTCTCTCACTGTCAGAATCACAGACTCAGAACAAACCGAGACAGAAACTCTTCCCACCAAAACCAAGCATGGAATTGAGCTCTAAGCTCCACCGCCTCGACCCCTGCTCAACCTTCCTCAGCGGCTTAGCTCCTTTCGACGCCCCCGCCACCGCTCTCACTTCCCGGCTCCACTCCCTTTCAAATCCGATAGCTTCTCAATCACTTAGAGCTAACAACACACTAACTCCATCAAAACCACTAGTCATCTCCACAAACCCACAACCCCAATTCCTAAATTTGCAACCCCCTTATTGGCGGTGGCCGTCGAAACTTCCGTAGCCCAAACCACCGCCGACAAGGACGATTTCGAGTCTTTGTTCTCGGATAATTCTTGAAGGAATTATTTTGTGAAAACATGTTCATTTTGAGCAACATCATATAGCATGCAATTAACAATTAAAGGCGGAATCATGCTTGTATGCACTCAAAAACAAAACATGACCATGAAATTCAAAGCCTAGTAGATTGGTGAACCATTAATCAACTCAAAACAAAGTGAGTTGAAATTATTACCTTTGTAGATTCCTCTTTGCATAAGCAAAGGCTAATCACCCAAAGAGATAGGGCCTTCATTCCTTGCTTCTTAGATCCATGGATTTGGATGGAAAATTAGGTTTCTCCAAGTTCCCAAAATAGGGAACCTCTAAGTCTCTTCACCAAGGTTTGATTGTAGAAGAAATGAGTGACCTTGGAGTAGTAGGATTGCTAGATGTACCCTCCAAGGTGTTGGCCTCTTTAGAGAGAAAATGGAGAGACAATTCTCACCAATTTTCCCCAAAATAAACCCTTAATCACTTAATAAATATTTGGCTATAAAGTCATTTATATAGTCACTTCTTTAAGTGACCTAAACAACCAAAACCCTAATTCATTTCATCATGGCCGGCCATTTAGGGGATTTTGGGCTTTTGGGCTTTAATGAATCTTCATTCATTAAATTGTCATACAACTTAAGTTAATGGGCTTGACGTTCGAAGCCCATTGGGCCTTAAGGTCCAAAACTATCCCGAAGTCTTTAACGAACTTATTCGTTTGATTAATTAACATATTAATTAATCCTTGCCATAAATAAATGATTAAACCATTTAATCATTCTTACTCATTTCCGTTTAATCTCCAATCTCTACCTTTTACGGTGTGCGATCCATTAGGTTCCTTTTAGCGAGGTAGTGGGCGATTAAAACCATTTTACATCGATTGTGAATTGAAACTATTTTCAATTCTCCCTTTAGTGATTACACACGTTTAGGGCTTCCAC